AGGGGCTGATGGCTGTTTGCAGCTGGTCACACCCCCTTCAGGGTGGGGGTCCACACTGGGGTGCCTGGTCAGTCTGGGTGAGGGGCTGAGGGCCATTTTCAGGCTGGCCGGCAACTGAAGCTCCCAGCCTCTCCTTTTTTCTTTTTTTTAATTCTGGGATTTATTTACCTTCTATAATTGAAACTTTGTTGCCCTCCTGCTTGCTCCAGCTCTGAGGCCACTGCTGGCTGAAAGCAGGTATCTGGGGTTTGTTTAGCTTCTATAATTGCAACTTTGTTGCTTTTGGAGCTCAGAGCCCGGCTGCGGCAGGCGGGGAACCTTGGCTTCCTCCATCACTGGAGCAAGCAAGCCTCCTGCTCGCTTCAGCTGTGTGGCTGCCGGCCGCCATCTTGGTTGGGTTAATTTGCATATCTTGCTGATTAGCCAATGGGAATCGTAGCAGAGGTACGGTTAATTACCCTTTTGGTCTTTTATTAGATAGGATAAATGAATGAGATCATGTGGTATTTTTCTTTCATTGACTGGCTTATTTCACTTAGCATAATGCTCTCCAGTTCCATCCATGCTGTTGCAAATGGTAAGAATTCCTTCCTTTTTACAGCAGCATAGTATTCCATTGTGTAGATGTACCACAGTTTTCTAATCCATTCATCTGTTGATGGGCACTTAGGCTGTTTCCAAATCTTAGCTATGGTAAATTGTGCTGCTATGAACATAGGGATGCATATATCCTTTCTGATTGGTGTTTCTGGTTTCTTGGGATATATTCCTAGAAGTGGGATCACTGGGTCAAATGGGAATTCCATTTTTAACTTTTTGAGGAAACTCCATACTGTCTTCCATAGTGGCTGCACCAGTCTACATTCCCACCAGCAGTGCACGAGGGTTCCTTTTTCTCCGCATCCTCTCCAGCACTTGTCGTTTGTTTGATTTTGCCTCTTGATGAAGCCCCATTTATCTGGTAACCAGATGAATAAATCTAGAGATAAATATCTCTGATGAGTATTTCTCCAATAAACTTTCTATAACTTTGTATCAAAATTCCTCTACCAGGTAACATTTCATTTTGTTTCCTTCGGAAATACCTTCAAATGCACAGAACATTGGAAGAATAGTACACACCCCCACCTCCACCACCACCAACCACTTGAGAGTAAGTTGCCATCTGATGCCTTTTTGCCTGTCGCGTAGCATTTTATTCTTACAGGCAAGAATATTTTTATATACTCTCAATATAATCAAAATCAGAATATCATTACTGTTATCTCACCCACAGATTCCATTTGAGTTTCACCAATTTCCCCCCAAATGTTCTTTATAATAACAGGATCCAATTCAGAGTCACACATTGCATTGGGTTGTCATGTACTTTTTGTTTTTTTAAGGGAAAGTGAGTCATGATGGTTTTTTTAAAAATATGTTTTATTAAAAAAATAAAAATAAAAATATGTTTTATTTATTTCAGAGAGAGGAAGGGAGAGAGAGAGAGAAACATTGATGAGAGAGAAACATCCCCCTACTGGGGATCAAGCCACAACCCAGGCCTGTGCCTTGATTGAGAATTGAACCAGTGACATGGTTCAACACAGACAATGCCCAGCCAACCAAGCACACAAACATGGGCCTGGCTGTCTTGTATCTTTAACCTGCTTTTGTTTGATGCGGTTTCTTAGTCTTTCCTTGACTTTCATAACTTAGGCTCTTTTGAAGATTACATTCCTGCTGCTTTGTAGTGTGTCTCACATCATGGGATGTCTGGCGTTTCCTCCTGGGTAGACTCAAGTTTATGAATTTTTAGCAGGAGAACGGAAGTGCAGCTGTGTCTTCTCCATTCCTCCTACCTCGTGGCACACCATTCCCACGACTGGTGAAGTTCATTTTCATCACTTGATTAAGGTACTGCCTGCCAGATTTCTCCACTGGAAGATCCCCGCCCCCTCCCCCCCCCCAATCTTTGTAATTACTGTCTTGGGTAAATGTTCTGTTCCTCATCAAACTTTCCCCGACTAATTTTTATTATTGGTGTTTCTTGAGTGAATTATTACTATGAAGATCCATCATTCCTTCTACACTTATTAGTTGGCATTCTAATTTAAGGAAAAGCCTTCCTTTCTTTCCATTTACTTATTTACTTAAATCAGTGTGGACTTGTGGATTATTACTTATTTAGCGCATTATGATTTTTCACCATCATTATTGATTTTGATGCTTGAAATGTCCCAGACTTGGCAATTGGGAGCCCCTTCAAGTTGGCTCCTATGTCCTTTTATCATGCCCCCATCATCCCTTTAGCATTTCTTTACTTTATGATACAACAAAATATTCTAGGCTCTTCTACCATCCCCTTCTCAGCCCTGGCATCCGTCGTTTCTCCATTTCTTCCTTTTAGGTGATATGGTATTTAGAAACTAAGATCTGGGGACTAGCTGTACTCATTGGGCTATGTGTATATGAGCATGTGTACACACACATTTACATTTGTATTTATTTCTATATTGAGCTACATATACTGAAAACCCTGAGTTCACACTGTTCTGCCCCAAACTGACAACACCACAGGGGTCATCCTAGCTTTCTCCTTTTCCATATTTGTAAGTCTTCACCAACAGGAGGAAACCCATCGGGCTCCATTTTATTGGTAAATGAAAATTAGGAAGAGAACTCCAAGGATTCTAAACAAAGGGACTGAATACTTAGGAGAACAGGGATCAGGTATACCAGGTATATCCCGCCCCCACCACCACCCCAATTTGCTTGTAAAAACATATCTCACATTTGTGCCTCTACAATCTCATTTATAGTAAAAAGAAGGCAGCTTTGGAAAAATGGTATGAAATGCAGTATTTGTTTCTAGAGCATCTAGGAGTCTACTACTGGAAGATAGAGATATTATATAGAATTATGCAGCTTTTTTTAAATAATGAAGAGATAATGGGCACTCAATCAAAAAGTGAAGAAAAAATTTATTGAATGATGTTGAACTTCAGCAGTTCTCATGTCCACTACACCTAGACCGCCCTCTCTTACATAGTTACTTTCTGGATTGTGGGCAATGGGAATTTAGAAAGCACTCCCCCTTACCAAAACCAACGTCTCTCTTCGTGAGAGGGGCTTAGGGAAAACAAAAGGCCCTTCACTCTGCATGTCAGCAGCTGTTCTTCGGGAGGCAGCACCGGTTTCCACTCGCTCCGAGGGCCGATAACCTTGCGAAGGCTGAAGATGTTACTGCATATTTGGAACGGCGATTTGGGTCTCAGTTATTAACGAGATTAGTGTCCTGAATGTTAGCAAGAGCATTGGCTTAGGTAAAGGCTGCCAAGGAAATCATATTAGTGTGGAATTTCCCGTCCTCAGGGGCTCCTCTTAGATTTCATTATTCACTTAGAAACCTCCTGTGGGGGGGTGGGGGGCGGAATGGCAGCGCTGGCCGTGATTGGATCCTGGGGCAGAACCGAGCGGAGAAGTTCAGGACTATCGGGATGGCACCAGTTCCAAAACATTTCTGTGGTGCTGGTACTGCCTCTGGTTTCCATTCGGTGTTTGCAAAGTAGCAGCAGCAGGGACAGCAGCAGAGAGCAGCCCAGTGGAGAGGAGCCCGCTAGGCAGGACCGAGTGCCATTCCTGGCAAGTGCGATGGCTCCTCTGTGGCCCTTCATCCTGGTGGCTGCGTCAGGTGAGTCCTCTGGGGATTTAACAGGGCGGACACTAACTCTGAGGAACTAGAGACAATGTTTTCTACTTGTGCCATGTGACTACCTAATCTGTCACAGGCCGGTCCTGTGAAGCTCCATGGAGACCCTGCTCCTGCAGTTACAGACACGTGCCCACACAGGGCCCCACGGCCAGGCGTTCCCACGGAGCGAGCGTGGCCTCTGGGTGCCCTGTTTGCCGCATCTCTGCTGTCCTAGGACCCCTCTCTCTGCTGCAGTTTCCATGGAGCGTGTGGGGCGTTCTTTCTCAGGTTTGCTTTTGTGTCTGAAGCGAACATTTTTATTATCCAAAATAGTCTTGGCGTCATCATAAGCTTTTCGTAACCCAGAGAGAGAGGCCCTTGGACGCATTGTGGCTACAGACGCCTGAAGACCATTTTGGTTTCAGGGGCTTCCATCCACCCACACAGTCTGTGCAGGCGAGTCTGTGTCCAAAGACGCACGCTGTCAGCTCACATGTTTTGGGTGCACAATTCCTCTTAAGGTTAGGAAACAACTCCTCTTAGAAGCTAACGTATTTTCCCCCCCAAAATTTTGGAACTGAACATCCATGGTGCCAGTATTAACTCTACTGGATTAAGCCATTTTAGTTAGGACACAACTGATTCTTAGGAAACATGCACAAATAAAGAATTTATCTTTATGCTGCTATTTCCCAATAGCCCCCTTTCTTGAGGGTTCTCCTAGAGCCCATATCTGAATTTCCATGTTTTAAAATATAACTGGAAGTGGAATGAGTCAATTATGGAGATGAGGAAAGAATTCGGTAGTCAAGAAGCCGGAAATGATTTTTTTATTCAGTGGAGACAAAAAGTAGCCACTTATCATTAAAGTATAAAAATCCTGATTATTGAACTTAAAGGATAAAAGCCTATCTTAATTATAAAAATGAAAACAGAGGAAATTTCATTAAATGCCAAATGGGTTTCTTAGCAGAAAATAATTATGAGCATTAAACTAAGATAAAACAGAAAAATGAAGGTAAGAAAACAGAAGAAATTCTTCTTAACAACGTCTCTTCCTAATGTTTTGTATTATGCTTGATTTTTGTTCTAAATGTTGCAGACAAAGGTGTTGTAACAGTGTCTAGTAATCTGTGCTTGAGCATAAATCCTACTGAGCACATTAGTTGCAGAAAAATCCACCCTCGGGAATTCTAACGGGTTAGTATCAAGAGGATTTGTAAATATGAGATCACTGAACCGGCCGCCACCTCACGGCTGCTGCTGGAGGCGGTGTGCTGGGCAGACGGATAAAGAGAGCCGGTTAGTTCCTGCGCCGCTCCTCGCCAGCCAGGTGACCCTGGCGAGTCAGTTAATCTCTTAGAAATTCAGTTTTCCTGCAAGTTAACGATTTAGTTTGTATGTTCATGAAGATCAGACAAGGCAGCATGGTGAACTGGAAGGTGCAACGCAAACAGAAGCTATGATTGGCCTGAAAACACATTCGCAAAAAATTACAGGGGGCTGTTTCTGCCAAACAGTGTACAATGCAATTCATCCGTCTCTCTTTGCAAAGGCTACTCACCGGGGTGGCTAATATTTTCAGGAAGCTGGGCCACAGATCAGTTGTGGTTAAATCCCAGCCTCTTTGCTTGCAAGCTGTATGACCGCAGGTGGTACTAACGTCACCAAGGCCGTAGCCCTTCACCTGTAATAATCGTGACGCCTGGGGCTGGAGAATATCTGTCTCACAGGCTGTGGCAGATGTTAAATGAGAGAATTCATGGAAAGCGCCTTTAGCCTAGTGCCTGACATATGCAGATATTCAATCAGTATTAGGTGTTCCATGGAACCACATGCCTAAACCTCTATTTCCTTGTCACCCCTTCAGATGTATGTATACCTTGCAGAATCCTAAAGGTGGTATACTCACTGAAGCCAGAATAGCTCTTTTAATCAAAATGCAGAACACTGTAAGATAGGTGTGTGTCAGAGAAACTCGTTCAAATAAGGAAAACAAAGGAATTATTCTACTGTATTCTTATCTTTAAAAAAAAAACCCCTCTCTTCACCTAAAAGTGTTTCATATCTCAGTTCCTATCACATTCCCCCTTCCCGCGATCTTGAGTGAGTTATTTGAAGCTGGTTGTTGGGAGGCGGTGCTAGGAGCACTCTGCTCGGTGTCTGCCAAGAGAGTCCATCAGTGTCTGTTGAAACATCACTTCACTGTGAGTCGTTTAGCGCTCGTGTGAATGTCACATTAGCTTTCAAGGGGCATAATTTACTGTTAATTAACGGTCACTTAGATCCTTAATCTCCCTCCTGTTATAGATCTTTCTCCTCAGGCAAATTTGCATCCATCATAGAAATGTAATTTATTATTTCTTCCCATTTTAAACAAAGAACTCTTTCCTCTTACAGTTTATGTAAGCCCGCTTCCTTTTGCTTCTTCTGTTTCTCCTATCAACGCTCGTTTCTCTTTTGTTCCTAGTTCTGGCTTCCAGAATTTGCTCTTGTTACCCAAAGACCTTGACATGCTCTGGGAAATATGTGTTTATCCAAGGGGGCCTGTCGATTGCCTCCTAGAAAAGACAGTAGCGGGGAAGCTGAGTCTTTGTGAGCAGAGGGTGTAGGGAACACACGCTCATTTCTCAGAACTGTTTTAATTCTGTCTCGGGCAGTTGACTGTGTTGAAACATGCGATTTCAGTATTTCCCCAACTGGGACTGGAATTGGGAGCTTCCGAGCGAGGTAAAAGTGAGGTCGCCCACAGCAGAGTTCGCAGGGAAAGCACCAGACCAGCTTGCCTCTGTGCTTCTGACTTCCGTCCCCTGGGGTACGCCAGCAAGAGATGGCTTCAGGTGGAGAGAGCCACAGCACATTCTTTGACAATCAGAGTTCACCAAACACCCTAAACATGATGCCTGATGCGAGCCACGCACCTGGGCCTGCGCGCCTGAATAGCTCAGGCCACTCCAGGCTCCTCTCAGGTGAGCAGTTAGGAAGTTAATATTCTCATTAGGCTCCCAGTTCCGCGGGTAATGAAAGTGAATATTCCACTGCCCGCGAGGAGTCTGGAATTGCACCTCCAGCGTCGTCGTTAGCATTTTGGTCACAATGACATTGATAAATCATAGAAATTGCTGCCTGTGGCTGCAAGTGACATGACATCATTCATAGAGAAATGGGTATAAACAGGATTGTCGCGCAGGGAGAAGATATCTCATTTACAGTTTCCTGCTGGATCCTGAACACCTTCGGCAGCTCATCAAAATAGCCATCAAAACCACTGAGCGCCCGCGAATTCACAGGCAGGACACTGCAGATAGATTTCACTCACGCGCTGTGGCAGGAGGCGCGCAATTTGCTTCAGTCCAATGACTTAGCGAGGCTTTGAATCCCCCGAGGGCTGGCAAAGCTTGTGAACAAAATATCTTTCTGCAATTCAGAGAAAACCCTCACAAATTTGTCACCTCCAATTGTTGATGCTCATTTCTCTTGCTTCTTTTCCCCTGGACTCCCCTCCCCCAACACCAATCCCTGCTCCTCCACAAATCAAGATTCCTGGGCCGTAGGAAATGGGTGCTCCCTGGAACTAGAGAGAATTTCCCCAAATGAAGATCTCATTTTCTGACAAGTGCATTTTATTTAAAGACAGACCGAGTGAGAAAAGTGATTTCTTTTTTAGGAGAAAGGAATTGGAATCTCATTAATCCCATTATTTAGAAACCCACACAGCTCTTTGGGTTCATTGGTTGGTCCATGTTTTTGCCTGGGTTTTCTATTTTAACTGTTGAATTAAAAATGGAAAATCAAAAGAAAATCCTGAGGGGAAAGTTCAGTTTTGGCTAAGTGTACAGGAAGGTTGTCTCATGTACAGGAAGAGGCGGTACAGGAGCAAGGAAAGGAATGGTCTCCAAGATGCACGATTGCTTAAAACTGAAATTGTGGGTGCAGCTTGGCTTCCTTGAAGATGGAGTTGATTTATTTATCTTTGCAATGAGATTTCTCTATTGGGCACAGAGGCCATCAGCTTACTGACATCAGTTGTTTAAAACTGTCTGCCAAAAAAACTACCAGCCGGCTGTGGACTTAGGCTGATCGGGGTGAGCCGAGGCTATATTCTGCTAGGAGTTTGGAATAGTCTGAACTCTCCTAAAGATGCTGAGTTCCTCTGATTTTCAACTTCACAATGATCGTTTTCTTGTTCAGGAATCCTAGCCATAGATACACCTCATCCCAGGAATTCTGCTCTGTACCATCTCACCAAGCAGCTACTGCAGAGGTATCAGAAGGACGTGAGACCAGTTCACGACTGGACGGAGGCCACCACTGTCTACCTGGACGTGTTTGTCCGTGCGGTCCTGGATGTGGTAAGGACCACCTACCCTTCCCTGTTCCTGCTGCCCCGGTGTGAAGGGACTTGCTGTTTTCACAGGAGCTTAGGAATATTGTTTTGTTCTTGAGACTCTTAGTTGAAATGGTAGGGGGGTTGTGCTAGGCTCAGTTTTGCAGTGAGCATGAGGTGTAATATTTATTAGGAAAATCATGCTTTCTAGCCCCCAACTTACACGTGAGGGGGCAGATAATCTAGTAATATGTATTTCACAGAATAAGATGTTTCAAGAATTCTGGTCATAGATCTGGTGCATATTTTATGAGTATTGCTGAAACAAAGAATGGTAATAGGTATTCCAACCCCGCCCCGTGGTTCACATTTCTTAGTGATAATATTGCCTGAAAATTTAAAAAGAGAAAAAGGTGCTTTGGTGTTGAGTGTATAAGGGGCCTTATCCTTAAGGTTTTTGCTAAGGCTGGTGGGAGAAGATTTGTTTATTAAAGCATGTTTTTCCTACCATATCTGAAAAATGGGTTTTTGTGGGAATAACATGAGAAAAAATCATGTGAATAAATGATGGTCTTGATGATTATTTTTGCTTCCTCTTTCTCCTTTTTTTTTTTTAAACCAACATTTTTTTTATTGATTTCAGAGAGGAAGGGAGAGGGAGAGAGAGATAGAAACATCAATGATGAGCGAGAATCATTGATCAACTATCTCCTGCATGCCCCCTACTGGGCATGGAGCCTGCAACCCAGGCATGTGCCCTGACAGGGAATTGAACCGTGACCTCTTGGTTCATAGGTTGATGTTCAACCACTGAGCCACTCCAGCTTGGCTCTTTCTTTTTTTTCTTAATTACAAAGTCTTCAATACCAGTAGGTCCCAGATTTATTTTTCTCTTATTTTAATTTATGTTTTCAATACAGTTGACACTCAATGTTAAATTATTTTCAAGTGTACACCATAGTGATTAGACATTCGTGTACCTTATGAAGTGATCCACCCTGATAAGTCTAGTACCCCTCTGGCACCATACATTGATTTCTCTTATAAGCAGACTTTTATTGAGCTTGTTTTGTTAAAGTAGTTTAATGGTTTTTTTCAATTTACTTCTCAAAACTATTTTTTTCTAATTGATGTATAAGATACATATATTGAAATGCATAGATCTTAAGTGTACAATTCAATGAGGTTTGATAACTGTGTGCACCCATATAATCCATACCTATCAATTATCAAACATTTTCTTTTTTTTTCCCCTTTTTTTTTTATTAAATCTTTATTGTTCAGGTTACAGTCTTGGTGTGGTCCTCTTTGGATTCCTTTTGTTTGGGGTTCTCTGCGCTTCTTGGACCTGTAAGTCCATTTCTTTCACCAGGTGGGGGAAGTTTTCTGCCATTATTTCTTCAAATAGGTTTTCAATATCTTGCTGTCTCTCATCTTCTGGCACCCCTATTATTCTGATGTTGGTACGCTTGAAGCTGTCCCAGAGGCTCCTTACACTATCTTCGTATTTTCGGATTCTTTTTTCATTTTGCTTTTCCGGTTGGGTGTTTTTTGCTTCTTCGCATTTCAAATCTTTGACTTGATTCTTGCGCTCCTCTGGTCTGCTATTGGGTGTCTGTATAATATTCTTTATTTCAGTCCGTGTATGCTTAATTTCTAGTTGGTTCTTTATCATAGCATCGAGGGTCTCATTAGTTTTCGTGACTCTCTCCTCAAGTTTATTGACAGCTTCTAGCACATTTTTGCAAGCCCTCAAAATTGCGATTTTTAGCTCTATATCCTCCATTTCTGTCATGTTTTTTTGTCTCCGCATTTTTTATGCTTTCTTGGTGCACCCCCTAGTGGTCTTTGTGCGCAGTCTTGTTCTAGTTGAGCCTTGATTGTTGTAGTTAATACTAGAGGGATTTGACCACCAGGCCGACTGGCTGTGTGAATCAGCTGTGTCTGCCGCGGAAAACTTCTGTCCTCTGGGGAGGTGCTAATCTAGCCTTTGCCTGAGGCTATCCGGCAAATGGCTCTGCGCAGGGCTTGGGCGGGGCGGGCTCAACAGGGCGGGCGGAGGGAGCCGTTATGGTGCCCTCAGTCCTGTTCCCAGAGGCTCTGCTTCTCAGAACCCCCGGAACCGCTGCAAACCTCGGAGGGAAAGCTGCCTTCCAACTGATGCCAGACACTCCCGCTTCTCCCGTTTGGGTCCGAGTCCCCAGCGATTCGCCCGTATCTGGAGCTCAGAGTCTGAGACTCCCCCCTGACCGAAAACGACAACCGCGCTCTCAGCCACCAGCCCGCTTTGCGCGCGCACCTCCGCACCTGAGTTTTTTCCACACTGCGCCTCCTCTGAGCCTCGGTGTGCTGTTATTTTTCCTTCTAGTTGAAGAGTCTCTCCTCAGCCAGCCTTCCTGTGGTTCTGGGTGATGTCCGTTCCGTCTTTTAGTTGTATTTTTGAAGTGGTTGTTTGCGGCAGCAGTCTGCGGTGTTTACCTATGCCGCCATCTTCGGTATTTCCAATTATCAAACATTTTCATCACCCCAGAAAGATCCCTCATTTCCTTCCCAGTCAATCCCCATTCCCTCCATCCATAGAAACAACCACTGTTCTGATTTCTTTCATCATAGATTATTTTTGCCATATTTAGAACATCATATGAATGAAATTTTATTCATCTATTGCAGTGGTTTTCAACCTTCCTAAATGCTGAGACCCTTTAATACAGTTCCTCATGTTGTGGTGACCCCCAACCATAAAATTATTTTTGTTGCTACTTCATAACTATAATTTTGCTACTGTTATGAATCGTAATCTAAATATCTGATATGCAGGATGTATTTTCATTGTTACAAATTGAACATAATTAAAGCATAGTGATTAATCACAAAAACAATATGTAATTATATATGTGTTTTCCGATGGTCTTAGGCCACCCCTGTGAAAGGGTCGTTCGACCCCCAAAGGGGTCTCGACCCACAGGTTGAGAACCGCTGATCTATTGTGTCTGGATTTTTCCTTGAGTGTAATGTTTTTGAGGTTTACTCATGTTGTTGTTAAGCAGTATTTGGCTATGGCTATACCATGATGTATGTATGTACTCTTCTGTTGATAAGCATTTGGGTTGTTTCCAGTTTTAGGATATTATTAATGAAGCTGGTATGAACATTCCTGTACACGTCTTTTGCGTTCATATGTTTTCATTTCTCTTAGGTTAAACCTAGAAGGGAATAACTGAGAAACTGCCAGGCTGATTTACAAAATGGTTGTCAGTTTACTCTCCGACCAGTCAGCACTGAGCGTTCCCATTGCTCCACATCCTCATCAACATTTGATACTATAACTTTTAACTTTTAGCTACTCTGGTAGGATGTGGTGGTATATTATTGTGGTTTTACTTTACATTTCCTTGACAGCTAATGATTTGGGGCTCTTTTTCATGTGCTTATTGGCTACTTACATAGCTTCTTTGTAAAGCATCTATTTAAGTATTTTCCTTATTTTTATTTGGCTATTGGTCTTTTTATTATAGACTAGAGGCCTGGTACATGGATTCATGTACCAGTGGGGTCCTTTGGCCTCGCCTGTAAGGATCAGATCACAACCAGCTCTCCGACATCCCCTGCAGGGTCCCAGATTGTGAGAGGGTGCAGGCCAGGCCGAGGGACTCCACCAGAGCATGATGGGGGTTGGGGAGGGACTGCAGGAGGGCTCCAGGACATGTCCAGCCATCACGCTCAGTCCCGATTGGCCAGACCTCAGCAGCAAGTAACCTACCATTTGGAGTGTCTGCCACCTAGTGGTCAGTGCATGTCATAGTGACTGGTCGAACAGTCAAACAGTTGGACACGTGCATATTAGGCTTTTATTATGTAGGATTTATTGGAGTTGTTTACATATTCTGGACACAAGTTCTTTGTCATATATGTACTGTGAATGTTTAGTCCCAGTCTGCAGCTCATTGACTCATCCCTTAATGGGTCTTATGACAAACAGAAATTTTTAATTTAGTGAAGTCTATTTCTATCAATTATTTATTTATGGTTAGTGCTTTCAGGTACCAAGAAACCTTTGTTACTCCAAGTTCACGAAAATATTTTCTTCCAGAAGGTTTATAGTTTTTAGCTCCTTAGATTTAGTTCTATGATCTATTGAGAATTAATTTTTGTGATGCTATGAGGAATGGGTCAAGGTTTTTGATGTTGTTTTTGTGGGGGGTTTTTGTTTTGTATTTCTCTTGAAATCAGATAATATAAGTCCTTGGAGTTTGTTCTTTGTTTTTAAGATAGTTTGGCTCTTATGACCTTAGTATTTCTTCATACATTTTATAGTCATCTTGTCTAACACACTCCCTCTCTCTCTTTCCATATATATTCAGCAAAGAAAGAATTCAGAGCCAAAGAACTCAAATTATAAGAGAAAAATTTTATTTAGAAAGTCACAGAGGTAGAAAAGGTGAGCCAGCTGGGCTGTGTGGCCTCAGGAAACAAGTTATAGAGGCAAAGGAAGGACCTTTGAAACTTAAGAAAAAGAAAGGCAGACAGAAGGAGCCTGGGGAAGGAGAAAGGTGTGGGTGTGCTTCAGAGAGAAGCCGCCATCCATTTCTATTTAAACATTTAAAAAACACACACCCTGCTTAGAGTTTGTTTAACATGATGTGGGATCTACAGAGATATTTAAGGAAGAATTGATTTTTTCCATTGATTTTTAAAGGAGGGGGAGAGACAAAGACACACACACACACACACACACACACACACACAAATGATGTGAGAGAGAGAGAGAGGGAGACATCGATTGGTTGCCTCCTGCATACATTCTAACCAGGGATTGAAGCCATCACTGGGGTATGTGCCCTGACCAGAATCGAACTGCCACCTTGTGGTGTATGGAACAATGCTCCAACCAACCAGCCTGGGCTATGATATTGCTTTTTTATTCTTTTAGTGTCCATGGTGATATTGTCTTTTACATTTCTCATATCAGTAATTTGTGTTTTCTCTTATTTTTCTTTGGCCAGTATTTCCAAAGGTTTATCAATT